CCCCTCGCCAGGCAATATCGATCGCCGGGCGGTCACATCTCGCTACGCGCTCGAATTGGACAGTGGGCAGGGCAAAGACGACGATTTTCGATAATTTTTTTCTCGTTAACTATTGCGAAAATTGCAAATGGTTCAGGACTTTTCTGTTCATCTCGATCCGTTCTACCTTCTCACGAGCTCGTGGACAAATGTTATAACTCACCCTGTATAGTGAAAGAAAAATGTACTTACTCAATGTTTTTTCTATTTTCTTCTTGTTCTGACAGTTTTGTCTCCCTAAAAGATTGTATTTCAATGACGTTCTGTCTGTCTTTTTCTTCATCTGGTAATTCTGTCTTTTTGGAAGTTTGTATTACACTTGGACCTGTCACAGTATTATCAAGATATCCATGTTTCGGTAATTCTGAGGTATTCGATGCTTGTCTGAATTTATACAAAGAGAGATTAAACGGGTGGCAATAGTAATAAAGCAATTATTAATTCATTAATATTAAAATAATACATTACTTATCAACAACGTACATAAATGTAGTTATAAGTGTAGTTGTAATAAAAAAAATAATACGATTAAAAAACATTTCTTTTACACATGTCTGGCTAATAAAAAAGATATTTGTTCATGAATAAATCTTCAATTGTGTGACACTTTACGTAACATCTTCTCTATAATGTGCTTGACGCTAATACATGAAAGTATAATACAAACATTTTATTATTACACTTCTTTATATACGCTGTATAATTCAAGTACAAAATGTACTCACTTGACATTCTTCATGTCTTCTTTTTGTACTGACAGTTTTATCTTTTTAAAAATTTGTATTTCATTGATGTTCTCTCTGTCTCTTTCCTCTTGTGGCATTTTCGTCTTTTTGGAAGTTTGTAGTCCACTTTTAACTTGCACAGTGTTATCAAGATGTCCGTCTTTCAGTGACTCTGAGGTAACCGATGCTTGTCTGCATTTATACAAAGTGAGATTAAACGCATGGAAATATGAATAAACAATTATAGTATCACAATAATAAATTACACATCAACAACGTACAACAATGAAGTTGTAAGTGTAGTTATATAATAAAAGAGAATACAATGTAAACAAAATTTTTTTCATGTTTGACTAATAAAAAAGATATTTGTTCATGAGTGTCGTACTTTACTCAACTTCTTCTCCATAATGTGCTTTACGTTGACACAGTAAAGTATATTGTAAACATTTAATTTTGTAACATTTTCTTACACTTTCTATAATACACGAAAAATGTATTGTACTTACTTGATGTTTTCTCTAGACTTTTCCTCTTCCGGCAGTTTTGCCTCCTTGAAAGTTTGAATTTCAATGACGTTCTGTATGTCTCTTTCTTCTTCTGATAATTTTGTCTTTGTGACAATTTGTATTACACTTTGAACTCGCACAGTATTATCTAGATGTTCGTTTTTCGATGACTCTGAGGTATTTGAAGCTCGTCTGTATTTGTACAAAGGAATATTAAACGGGTGGAAATACTTACAATGAAATGATAATATTGAAATAATACATTACTCGTCAACGTACTTAACAACAACGTACTTAAATATAGTCATAACTGTTATAAAAAAGAATAAATATGGTTTTGATTTTTAAAAATATTTTATGTATGGCTAATAAAAAATGATGTTTGTTCATCAATAACTTGTGAGTAGTATCACACGTTACTCAACAGTTTCTCCATAATGTACATTACTTTGGTATATTAAAGTGTATTGTAAACATTTAATTTTCATACTTCCTTATATACTTTTTATAATAAAAAAAACAATGTACTTACTTGATGTTTTGTCTTGTTGATTGGTTCTTTTCTTCTTCTGACAGTTTTGCCTTCTTATAAGTTCCTATTTCAATGATTTTCTGTTTGTCGCTTGCTTCTTCTGGCAATTTTATCTTTTGGGAAGCTTGTATTCCACTTGGACCTGCCACAGCATTATCAAAATATCCGTCCTTTGGTGACTCTGAGGTATTCAAAGCTTGTCTGCATTTATACAAAGAGAGATTAAACGGGTGGAACTAGTAACAAAGCAATTATAATATTACAATAATAAATTACTTATCAACATTGTACATACATGTAGTTCGAAGAAAAAGAATAAATACGGTTAAAAAATTTCTTTTTACATTTGATTACTAAAAACTATATTTGTTCAAGTATAAATTTTTAGTAGTGTGAACACTTTGCTCAACATTTTCTCCATTATGTGCTTTACATTGATACATGAAAGTGTATTGTGAACATTTAATTTTAACACTTCCCTATATCTTGTGTAATGAAAGAAAGATGTACTTACTTGATGTTTTGTCTATCTTTTTCTTGTTCTGGCAGTTTTGTCTCGTTGAAAGATTGTATTTCAATGACGTTTTGTCTGCCTTTTTCTTCCTCTGGTAAATTTATATTTTTGGCAGTTTGTATTACACTTCTAACTCGCACGGTATTATCCAGATGGTTGTTTCTTGAAGACTCTGAGGTATTCGATGCTTGACTGCATTTGTGCAAAGGGACATTAAACGGGTGGAAATAGTTATAGAGAAAATATAATATTGAAATAATACATCACTTATCAACAACGTACATAAATATAGTCATAAGTGTAGTTATAATAAAAAGAATATATGTGGTTTTGATAAAAAAATTTTCTATTTTGGCTAATAAAAAAGATCTGTGTATCAATAAATCTTCAGTAGTGTCATACGTTACTCAACATTTTCTCCATAATGTACATTATATTGGTACATTAAAGTGTATTATAAACATTTAATTTTAACACTTCCTTATATACCTGGTTTAGTGAAAGGAAAATGCACTTACTCGATGTGTTTTATATCTTCTTGTTCTGACAGTTTTGCCTCTTTGAAAGTTTGTAGTTCAATAACGTTCTGTATGTCTCTTCCTTCTTCTGATAAATTTGTCTTTCTGGAATTTTGTATTACACTTTGAACTCGTACAGTATTACCCAGGTGTTCGTTTTTCGTTGACACTGAAGTATCTGAAGCTTGTCTGCATTTGTACAAAGGCAGATTAAACGGATGGAAATAGTTGTTATAAAATTATAATATTGAAATAATAGAGTACTTATTACTTATATCAACATCATACATAAACGTAGTCATAAGTGTAGTCATAATAAAAAGAATATACATATATAGTATTGATAAAAAAAAATTCATTTTATGTTTAGCTAATACAGATGTTTGTCCATGAGTAAATCTTCAGTAATGTCACACATTACTCAACATTTTCTCCAAAATGTGCTTTACCTTGATACATTAAAGTGTATTATGAACATTTCATTTTAACACTTTCTTATATACATTTTATAAGGAAAGCACAATGTACTTACTTGATGTTTTTTCTTATTGATTGATCTTTTTCTGGTTCTGACAATTTTGTCTTCTTAAAATTGTGTATTTCAATGTTCTGTCTGTCTTTTTCTTCACCTGGTAAGTTTGTCTTTTCGGAAGTTTGTATTTCACTTTGAACTTTTATAGTATTATAATGATAGTCGTCGTGCGACAAATCTGTGCTGGTTGATGATCTGCATTTAGACAAAGGGTGATTAAACGAGTGGAAATAACAATAAAGCAATTATAATATTAAAATAATGCACTATTTATGCACAACGTAAATACATAAGTGTAGTTATAATAATTGGTATAAACGTGGTTTTGATAAAAAAAATTTTATTTTTACAAATAACAAAATGTTTGTTTATGAATAAATTTTTAGTGTCACATGTTACTGAACATTTTCTCCAATACGTGCTTTACGTTGATAGATTAAAGTGTATTCTGAATATTTAATTTTAACACTTTGTTATATATGTTTTACAATGAAAGAATATTGTACTTACTTGATGTTTTTTATTGTTGATTGATCTTTTTCTGTTGATTGATCTTTTTCTTGTGCTGACAGTTTTGCCTTCTTGAAAGTTTGTATTTCAACGACATTCTGTCTGTCCCTTTCTTCTTCTGGTAATGCTGTCTTTTTGGAAATTTGTATTACACTTTGAACTTGCACAGTATTATCCAGATGTTTGTTTTTTGAAGACTCTGAGGTATTCGAAGCTTGTCTGCAATATTACAAAGAGAGATTAAACGGATGGAAATAGTTATAGAGAAATTTTAATATAATATTGAAATAATACTTTAGTTATATGAACAATCTTAAAAAATGTCGTCATAATTGTAGTTATAATAAAAAGAATAAATACGATTTGGATAAAAATTATTTTTACGTTTGGCTAATAAGAAAAGGTATTGGTTCATCAATAATTCTTTAATAGTCTCACCAGTTACTTAATATTTTCTCCATAATTTACTTTACTTTGATACATTAAAGTGTATTGTAAACCTTTCCCAGACAGCACACCATGTCTAAAAGACAGCTTTAAGACGTCTTTAAGTCTAAAAGACGTCTTAAAGACGTCTTTATGATGTCTTTTAGATATGTGTGCTGTCTGGGTTAATTTTAACACTTCCTTCTATTCGTTTTGTAATGAAAAAACAATGTACTTACTTGATGTTTTTTCTTACTGATTGATCATTTTCTTGTTCTGACAGTTTTGCATTTTTGAAAATCTGTATTTCAACGACGTTCTGTCTGTCTCTTTCTTCTTCTTGTAATTTTGTCTTTCTGGAAGTTTGTATTACACTTTGAACTCGCACAGTATTATCCAGCTGTTCGTTCTTTGGTGACTCGGAGGTATTCGTAGCTTTTCTGTATTTGTATAAAGTGAGATTAAATGGGTGAAAATGGAGTTATAATAAAATTATAATATTGGAATAATACATTACTTTTGAACAACGTACTTAAATGTAGTCATAAGTGTAGTTATATAATAAAAAGAATAAATACGGTTTCAATAAAAATTTTTTTTTATGTTTGGCAAACAAGAAAAGGTGTTTGTTCATCAATAAATCTTCAATAGTATCATATGTTACCCAAAATGTTCTCCATAATGTACATTATATTGGTACATTAAAGAGTATTGTATAAACATTTAATTTTAACACTTTGTTATATGTATATGTTTTATAATGGAAGAATATTGTACATACTTGATGTTTTTTCTTGTTGATGGATCTGTTTCTTGTTCTGACAGTTTTGCCTTCTCGAAAGTTTGTATTTCAACGATATTCTGTCTGTCTCTTTCATCTTCTCGCAATTTTATCTTTTGGGAAGTTTGTATTTCACTTGAACCTTGCACAGTATTATTCAGCAGTTCGTTTTTCGTTGACACTGAGGTATCTGAAGCTTGTCTGCATTTGTACAAAGGCAGATTAAACGGATGGAAATAGTTATTATAAAATTATAATATTGAAATAATAGAGTACTTATTACTTATATCAACATCATACATAAACGTATTCATAAGTGTAGTCATAATAAAAAGAATATACATATATAGTATTGATAAAAAAAATTCATTTTATGTTTAGCTAATAAAGATGTTTGTCCATGAGTAAATCTTCAGTAATATCACACGATACTCAACATTATTAGCATAATATGTTTTACGTTGATACAGTAACGTGTATTGTAAACATTTAATTTTAGAACTTTCTTATATACGTTTTATAATGAAAGAATAATGTACTTACATGATATTCTTCTTATTCTTTTCATGTACTGACAATTTTGTCTTCTTAAAATTGTGTATTTCAACGTTCTGTCTGTCTCTTTCTTCACCTGGTAAGTTTGTCTTTTTGGAAGTTTGTATTTCACTTTGAACTTGCATAGTATTATCATGATAGTCGTCGTGCGACAAATCTGTGCTGGTTGATGGTTGTCTGTATTTAGACAAAGGGTGATTAAACGAGTGGAAATAACAATAAAGCAATTATAATATTAAAATAATGCACTATTTATGCACAACGTGCATAAGTGTAGTTATAATAATTGGTATAAACGTGGTTTTGATAAAAAAATTTTTATTTTTACAAATAATAAAATGTTTGTTTATGAATAAATTTTTAGTGTCACATGTTACTGAACATTTTCTCCAATACGTGCTTTACGTTGATAGATTAAAGTGTATTCTGAATATTTTAATTTAATTTTAACATATAATTTAATTTTAACACTTTGTTATATATGTTTTACAATGAAAGAATATTGTATTTACTTGATGTTTTTTATTGTTGATTGATCTTTTTCTTGTGCTGACAGTTTTACCTTCTTGAAAGTTTGTATTTCAACGACATTCTGTCTGTCCCTTTCTTCTTCTGGTAATGCTGTCTTTTTGGAAATTTGTATTACACTTTGAACTTGCACAGTATTATCCAGATGTTTGTTTTTTGAAGACTCTGAGGTATTTGAAACTTGTCTGTATTTGTATAAAGTGAGATTGTGTCTGAAACATTTTTCGATTTGTCTAATACTTTTCAAGATATTCAAGAGAAAATTTTAACTTTTTTAACTTATGATATCTCGATAACTGTTTTTCGGAGGGAAAAGTAGTACAGGACTTTTTTACTTGATTAGGTCTCAGAAATATGCTGTTGCAATATTATTTATATATGTACTTACGCACAATAGCGTAAGTGTTGGGTTAAATTTGATGTCGGATATTTAGGTTGTATTTTTATTGTTCTTCTACATTGCTTGCATATTGCAGTGTTTCCTACGTCCTCGAACTTTTCCCATACTTGTGATCTTCTTTTTAGATTCCTCGCTTCTCCATTTCTTAGGTTATCAAGATTAAAATGGATTATGAAAGTGTTAATTCCAATAAAAAGTACAATTAATTATTTTATTATAATAACTACATATATCCAATATGTATACAATATCCATATATTTATCCTTTTGAGTGGCAGGGGCCAGAGTGAATGGTTGAGTGAGAGAACAGAGATAAACTTTTGAACAACGTAAGTACTTAAATGTAGTCATAAGTGTACTTATATAATAAAAAGAATAAATACGTTTTCAATAAAAAAATTTTTTTATGTTTGGCAAACAAGAAAAGGTGTTTGTTCATCAATAAATCTTCAATAGTATCATATGTTACCCAAAATGTTCTCCATAATGTACATTATATTGGTACATTAAAGAGTATTGTATAAACATTTAATTTTAACACTTTGTTATATATGTTTTATAATGAAAGAATATTGTACATACTTGATGTTTTTTCTTGTTGATGGATCTGTTTCTTGTTCTGACAGTTTTGCCTCCTCGAAAGTTTGTATTTCAACGATATTCTGTCTGTCTCTTTCTTCTTCTCGCAATTTTATCTTTTGGGAAGTGTGTATTTCATTTGAACCTTGTACAGTATTATTCAGCGGTTCGTTTTTCGGTAACTCTGAGGTATTCGAAGTTTGTCTGCATTTGTACAAAGGAAGATTATATGGGTGGACATACTTGTAATGAAATTATAATTTTGAAATAAAACATTACTTTTCCACAACGTACTAAAGTGTGCAGTAATAAGTGCAGTTATAATAAAAAGAATAAATACGGTTTTGATAAGAAAAAAATTTTATATGTGGATAATAAGGAAAGATGTTTGATCATCAATAAATCTTCAGTAGTATCATAAGTTACTCAATATTTTCTCCATAATGTATATTACATTGGTACATTAAAGTGTATTGTATAAACATTTAATTTTAACACTTTGTTATATATGTTATATGTATATGTTTTATAATGAAGGAATATTGTACTTACTTGATATTTTTTCTTGTTGATGGATCTGTTTCTTGTTCTGACAGTTTTGCCTTCTCGAAAGTTTGTATAAACCTCCATGGCACACTAAAGTGTATTGTATAAACATTTAATTTTAACCCTTTGTTATATGTATATGTTTTATAATGAAACAATATTGTACTTACTTGATGTTTTTTCTTGTTGATGGATCTGTTTCTTGTTCTGACAGTTTTGCCTTCTCGAAAGTTTGTATTTCAACGATATTCTGTCTGTCTCTTTCTTCTTCTCGCAATTTTATCTTTTGGGAAGTTTGTATTTCACTTGAACCTTGTACAGTATTATTCAGCGGTTCGTTTTTCGGTAACTCTGAGGTATTCGAAGTTTGTCTGCATTTGTACAAAGGAAGATTATATGGGTGGACATACTTGTAATGAAATTATAATTTTGAAATAAAACATTACGTACTAAAATGTGTAGTCATAAGTGCAGTTATAATAAAAAGAATAAATACGGTTTTGATAAGAAAAATTTTTGTTATAATATGTTTGGCAAACAAGAAAAGGTGTTTGATCATCAATAAATCTTCAGTAGTATCATAAGTTACTCAATATTTTCTCCATAATGTATATTACATTGGTACATTGAAGTGTATTGTATAAACATTTAATTTTAACACTTTGTTATATATGTTATATATGTTTTATAATGAAGGAATATTGTACGTACTTGATGTTTTTTCTTGTTGATGGATCTGTTTCTTGTTCTGACAGTTTTGCCTTCTCGAAAGTTTGTATTGCAACGACATTCTGTCTGTCTCTTTCTTCTTTTGGCAATTTTATCTCTTGGAAAGTTTGTATTCCACTTAGACCTTGCACAGTATTATCCAGCTGTTTGTTTTCCGGTGACTCTGAGATATTTGAAGCTTGTCTGCATTTGTACAAAGAAAGATTAAACGGGTGGAACTAATAATAAAGCAATTATAATATTACAATAATACGTTACTTATCAACAAGTTACATACATGTAGTACTATAATAAAAGGAATATATACGGTTAAAAAATTTTTTTTCACGTTTGACTAATAAAAAAGATATTTGATCAAGAATAAATCTCCAGTAGTGTGACACTTTACTCATTATTTTCTCCATAATGTGCTTTACGTTGATACATAAAAGTGTAGTGTGTACATTTAAATTTAACACTTTCTTATACCTCGTATAATGAAAGAAAAATGTACTTACTCGATGTTTTTTAAATCTTTTTCTTGTTCTGGCAGTTCTGTCTGTTGGAAAGTTTGTATTTTAATGACGTTCTGTCTATCTCTTTCTTCCTCTGGTAAATTTGTCTTTTGGAAAGTTGGTATTCCACTTGGAATTTCCACAGTATTATCAAGATTTCCGTCTTTTGGTAACTCTGAGGTATGCGATGCTTGTCTGCATTTATACAGAGAGAGATTCAATGGGTGGAAATAGTAATAAACCAATTATTAGTTAATTAATATTAAAATAATACATTACTTTTGAACAATGTATATACATGTAGTTATAAGGATATTTATAATAAAAAGAATAGTACTATTGAAAAAAAATTTTTTCACACATGTCTGGCTAATAAAAAAGATATTTATTCATGAATAAATTTTCAGTAGTGTTACCCTTTACTCAATATCTGCTCCATAATGTGTTTACGCTAATATTTAATTTTACCACTTTCTTATATGTATACGTTGTATAACGCGAGGAAAACATATACTCACTTGACGTTCTTTCTATCTTCTTCTTGTTCTGGCAGTTTTGCCTTTTTAGAAGTTTGTATTCCAGTGACATTCTTTCTGTCTTCTTTTTGTTCTGGCAGGTTGGTCTTTTTGGAAGTTTGTATTCCAGTGACGTTCTTTCTGTCTTTTTCTTGTTCTGACAATTTTATCTTTTTGGATGTTTGTATTCCACTTTTAACTCGCACGGTATTATAAAGCTGTTCGTCGTTTGGTGACTCTGAGGTATTCGATGCTGGACTGCATTTATGCAATAAGAAATTATATGGTTAGAAAGTAAAGTGTATTGTGAACAATTAATTTTATCACTGTCTTATATGTATACTTTGTGTAACGCAAGGAAAAATATACTCACTTGACGTTCTTTCTGTCTTCTTTTTGTTCTGGCAATTTGGTCTTTTTGGAGGTTTGTATTCCAGTGACGTTCTTTCTGTCTTCTTCTTGTTCTGGCAATTTTATCTTTTTGGACGTTTGTATTCCACTTTTAACTCGCACGGTACTATCAAGCTGTTCGTCGTTTGGTGACTCTGAGGTATTCGATGCTTGACTGCATTTAAGCAAAAAGAAATTATACGGTTAGAAATTATAATATTAAAATAATTCATTACTTATCAACACCGTACAGAAATATATTACACGTATAGTTAAAAAAAAGAGTAAATGTAGTTGTGATAAGAAAATGTTTTAATATTTGGCTAATAAAGAAGTTGTGTTTGTTCATGAATAAATCTTCAGTAGTGTTACAGTTAGCGCCATTATTTTCTGCATAATGTGCTGTATATTGATATATTAAAGCATATTACAAGTAAAAAATATAATTACTTGACATTCTTTTTGTCATTTTCTTGTCCTGACAGTTTTGTCTGTTTAGAAGTTTGTATTTCATTGACGTTCTCTCTGTTTGTTTCTTGTTCTGGCAGTTCTATCTTTTTGAAAGTTTGTATTCCAGTGACGTTGTTTCTATCTTTTTTTTGTTCTGGCAATTGTGTCTTTTTGGAAGTTTGTATTCCATTTTTAAATTGCCCAGTATTATCAAGATGTTTTTCTTTTGGTGGTATTGAAGTATTCGATGCATCTCTATATTTATATAATGAAAGAGATTAGAACAATAGAAATTGTACTAAAGGAATTGACACTAAAAATGATACACCAATACATTACCTATCACAAATGTCTGTTCCTCTTTTGCTCAAACTGTATAGTTTTGCTTCTGCCTTCAATTTTATTGAAATCTCATACAAATCATCTTCAGATTCTGAACTAGAATAAATCCTGTATTTATACAAGGAGTGATTAACAAAATAGAAAGTACAATGCAGTGATTATTGGTTCAAGTTTTAAATGTTAAATATATATACAGGATGTTCCCTGGCAATATGTAAAGGCTGGCAATCTCTTATGGGCAGTGTATGTAAAGTAGATAAAAATAAGCCTACAAATTCCTATCAATTTTTTTGTAACGCTTCTTTAAAGAGATAACTGTGTTTAAAATTAAAATTTTTGAAGTATTACTCTTAAATTATTTTTATATTCATCTTTAGATCTTATGAATTGTAATATTTATTTTTACATTTAACAAAGTTCTTTAAAACAATATCATAAGTTTCTTGATACCATCAAAGTGCCAGGAATATAATTATATGTACATATACATATATATATTTATATAAGTATACTTATAATAAAAATGAATGTATATCGTTTTATATGGTTTTGATAGCAAATAGCTAATATAAAAAAATATTTGTTCACGAATAACTCTTCAACAACGGCATCCTTGATGCCATCATTTTCTGCGTAACACGCATTAGACAGATAAATTAAAGTTCTATTGTGAACATTTAACTTTAACATTTCCTTATGTAAGTAGTATAATGCAAGTAAAAAGTATAATTACTCAAAATTGATGTTCTTTTTATCTATTTCATATTGTACCAGCATTGTCTCTTTCAAAATTTGTAACTTAGTCTTTTTAGAAGCTTTTCCACTTTGACATTGTACAGTATTATCAAGATCTTCGTCTTCCGATGACTTTGAAGTAGATGCTTGCTTCGATGCTTGCTTCGATGCTTGCCTGTATTTATACAAAAAGAGATTAAAAGGGTAGAAATGACTAGTAATTAAGTAATTAATGTTAAAACTAATACATTACTTATTAACAATGTCTGTTCTTCTTTTTCTTAAACTGTACACTTTTGATTTTGTCTTCACTTTAATTGAAACTTTATGCACATCCTCATCAGATTCGGAACTTGAAGTAGACCTGCATTTATACAACCGGTATTTATAGTTAAAACTTATGGTATATTCCAAATCTTTTTCAATTTATCTAAAGATACTGTATGGAACATTTCATTCGCTACAGAGTATCTAAAAATGATCTTAAGATGATCTTAAATATAAGGTCTGAGTACGAATATCGTCTAAAAGAGTGACTGACAAAATAGAAAGTGATATACAATAAGTAGTATTTTGAATTTTAAATATTAAATACATATATTAGCATATTATTCAGCCAGAAGTTTTATTTCTTAATTTTAAATAAATGTAATTAATAAAGGAATTAATTAAGAAACATCTACGAAGGGATATGACTGATTCAGCGACAAGAAACAGCTAAACTTAATGCATTGTTTGTAGTTACTGAATGCACACTCCTCCCAATGACACGTGTGTAATAATTTTATCGTCTCGTGGTACTGACTTGTCTCTTCTCACTGAATCCCTCCGACACTGTCTTATACAATTTCATTAATCTATTTTATTTTACAAATTCCAAAATTATGCTTGAGAACTTCTTTACTTATTGTTAATTAACTCCGTTCTGTCCATAAGCAGTGTCACACATATTTTTAGATACTCTGTATATTTGCATTGTAATGAAAATAAAGTATTAAAAAATTAAGGTTATACAGAGTGTCTTATTTTAAATGAGCCATGCAAATATCTCCAAAAATATGAAACAAAAGTTGTTTGAAACGTTTTTCCGTATCTTTTATGTTTTTGGAGATATTTGCATGGATCATTTAAAATAAAACACCCTGTGTATATACATATATATGTATTTCTAATAAAATTAATGTATATGGTCTTGGGTGGGGTTTTGAAAGTAAATAACAGATATAAAAAAAATATTTGTTCATGAATAAATCTTAAACAACGACACCCTTGACGACAATATTTTCTGCGTTACGTGGGTAAATTAAAATGCTATTGTGAACATTCAACTTTATGCGCTATTGTTAACATTTCTTTATATGTATAAGTTGTAATATAATGCAAATGAAAAGTATAATTACTCAAACGTGACGCTCTTTTTCTTTTTTCTTCGTTGTGGCCGTTTTGTCTGTTTGGAAGTTTGTTTTTTATTTTGAACTTTCGCAGTAACATCTTCATGTTCCGATAACTCTTCATCTTCCGATAACTCTTTATCTTCCGATAACTCTTCATCTTCCAATAACTCTTCATCTTCCGATAACTCTGAACACTCTGAACTACTCGATGCTGCTCGCAGCCTGTATTTATACAAAGAGGGATTAAACAAATAGAAATAACAATGGAGCAATTAATATTAAAAATAATGAATTATTTATCAACAATTATCTTCTTCTTTTCCTCAAATTGTATATGTATATCGTTTCTGTCTTCGATTTCGTTGAAACATTATGCAAATTCTCATCATATTCTGAACTTGAATAAAACCTGCATTTATGCAAGAAGTGACTAACAAAATAGAAAATGCAATAGAGCAGGTAGTATTTTAAGTTTTACATGTCTATTACGTTTTACATATATTTTACATGTAAATTACTGGATTATTCGATCAAAACAATTATTTTTGCAGTAATAAATATTAATTTTAATATTTGATATTTATATTTATATAAAATAACTAATATTAATATTGGTAACATATGAGACTGACTTTATTATCAAATTATAAAATGTTAATACATGTCTATATATTTTATTAATGATACATACGCTATTAAAAATTTTTCATGTGTTTAGCATACATTTTTTACACTTGCAAGGTCTTATGATATATTTTTTTGATACTTTTTTCTACTTGTCAGAACAAGCTAATTGTAAATCAATTTTATTTTGTTTCGAAAAGATTGTAATAATCCAACAACATGGGCAATCGCACTTTTTCATTCAAAATTGCATACAATTCTTACAATGAAGCTATTGTAAAATTTTCTATTTGCCCTTTATGTATAAAGATTTTTACATCATTGTATCTTTTTTATACACATTGTCTCAAATATTTTTCTTATGTTTACTTACTTGCAAATAAATAAGTGTCGGCTTAAATTTGATGTTTCATGTCCTTTAATAACTTTTATTGTTTTTTGACATCTTTTGCATGTGGCATTGTTGTCCGTTACATCATACTTATCCCATACTCTTGCTAGTCTTCCCTCCATCATTAATTTAGATTTACTCGGCTTATCAGTTTTAAAGTAACGTGATCTGAAAATAATTATAGCCTCGACAATTTTGTATTAGGATTTTTGTTTTGAAATGTTCTAAGGATTCCCTCATTAAGAGAACATCCAATGGTTTTAGGATACCCTAATATCTCATTAATCCTCTAATAAAATAATTTCATGATCACAATTTACGAGTATGTTGAAACATTATAAAATCATGATATTTTCTACTGTGTTAATTATACACATATGTATATGTAAAGTTGGATTCTACTAATTGTTATCGAATTACGAAAAAGTAACCGTATTTCATTATTTTATCTGTTGTATATTCACCTATATTTTAAATATATTTTGTACGTATACTTACCGACAACCAAGTACGTGAATCTTTAAAATTGATATTGAAAATGGAGACTTTCTTGAGATTGTTTTTTTACATCTTTTACATGTGACATGATTGTCGTTTACAATGTAGTTGCACAATATTCTTGATATTTTTTGCACTTTCATCAATCTAGGTTTATTCGGCCCGTATGCATAAATGGGGCTTATAAAAAAATTAATGTGATAAGATATATAATAAATTATTTTACACAATAACTATATATTGCCATTATACAATTTACAAACTTTCTTTAAATATTATATACTTCATTATATACTCATCAATATTTCTAATATTATTTATTTGTGTACTTACCAACAATCGTTTAAGTGTTGTTTTAATTTTATTATTGGATTTTTAACATTTATTTGTATAGTAGTTTTACATTGCTTACATATCGCTTTGTTTCCCTTTTCATCAAACTTTTCCCGTATCTCTGATGGTTTTTCCGTCACCTTCGGCTTCTCTTTACTTAGATCGTCCAGATTTACGCCGCTAAAAGAATACATACAATGAAATGTAAAATTCTTGGTTTACAATAACTGCACATTTCCATTATACAGGGTGTCCCACCTTAAATAATTTTTTATTTTTAATCGCAGAAAAAAACATTTCAGACAAAAGTTGTTCGGTTCGAAGGGGGACATGAGATGGTGCCCATTACTTTGACCTTGACGAGTTTCTTGAAAGTCAGGTTAAGGTCACCTTCAATTTTTTAAATGAAACTCCCTATTGTTTATTATACTATCTTATTCTACTAATTAATATGAATTGTGTCTGAAACATTTTTCGATTTGCCTAATACTTTTCGAGATATTCAAGAGAACATTTTAACTTTTTTAACTTATGATATCTCGATAACTGTTTTTCGGAGGGAAAAGTAGTACAGGACTTTACTTGATTTGGTCTCAGAAATATGCTGTTGCAATATTATTTATATATGTACTTACGCACAATAGCCTAAGTGTTGGGTTAAATTTGATGTCGGATATTTAGGATTTATTGTTATTGTTCTTCTACATTGCTTGCATATTGCAGTGTCTCCTTCATCCTCGAACTTTTCCCATACTTGTGATCTTCTTTTTGGATTCCTCGCTTCTCCTTTCCTTAGGTCATCAAGATTAAAATGGATTATGAAAGCGTTAATTCCAATAAAAAGTACAATTAATTATTTTATTATAATAACTACATATATCCAATATGTATACAATGTCCATATATTTATCCTTTTGAGTGGCAGGGGCCAGAGTGAATGGTTGAGTGAGAGAACAGAGATAAAGTAAAACTAGTTTATAGGGAAAGTAGGAGTGAGAAGAATAGAGTGGTGTGATAGGGAAAAGAGTAGAGTATTGCATTGCATGCAATTGTATTGCGTGCCTAAAAATTGTATAGCGTTAAGTTAAGGTGATTCTGTGTTAAAGCAGTATTAGAAAAAGACATGTAGAGATAGAGAGAGAGAGAGGGAGGGGGGGGGGAGTACAAGTGGCGAAAGAGAGAAATATTTAGAATTTTATGACTGCGAATAAAAATGAAGAGAATTGTGAAAATATTGAAAACATAATATGTGCAAAATATAGATATTGTTGAGTCATATAGATTTCGAAAATATGGAAAATGAGATAAGTGCAGAGGATTAAAGCACATGTGACGTGCGACTAAGAGAAGAAAGAGAAGCGAAGTAGGATTGTAGTTGGTGGAGAGAGAGGGT